TCATTTTTGAAAAAAAAACATTTTCTACAGAGATACTAACGTTTCTGTATTCTGCCTACATTTAAAACTTCCATATATCCCATAGAGAAACTATAAACTAACGTTTCTGTATTCTGCCTACATTTAAAACTTCCATCTATCCCATAGCGAAACTATAAACTAACGTTTCTGTATTCTGCCTACATTTAAACTTCCATCTATCCCATAGAGAAACTATAAACTAACGTTTCTGTATTCTGCCTACATTTAAAACTTCCATCTATCCCATAGAGAAACTATAAACTAACGTTTTTTATTTTAAATTAACTTCTGGATAACGTTTTTCTTATCTATTTTAAAGTGTTTTCATAGTTCAACCATTAAACTCCAGGCTATTCCATACACTAAAAACTTTTTATATACTTAGTTGTTCATTACGATAAAATTATTACCAATGTTATACCAACCTGTTACATTTCCAGAGAAGTAACTCACAGCCAGCGCGAAGAAAATCGACAACGTTGTTTCCATGGTATAACCTCTACCGGCCCGGCATGGCCAGGTGGTTAGGGAAGTCGACTCGCAATCTGCGGGTCGCGGGTTCGAATCCCCGTCCCACCAAATATGCTCGCCCTTTCAGCCGTGGGGGCGTTATAATGTGACGGTCAATCCCACTATTCGTTTGTAAAAGAGTAGCCCAAGAGTTGGCGGTGGGTGGTGATGACTAGCTGCCTTCCCTCTAGTCTTACACTGCTAAATTAGGGACGGCTAGCGCAGATAGCCCTCGTGTAGCTTTGCGCGAAATTCAAAAAACAAAAACAAACAAAAAACAATAACCTCTACTGCTAAGTCAATTTCCCTTAAGGTCAGTTCCTCGTCCTTGGAATGAAATACCTATGACGTCATACGTAAAGAACTTATGGTTGATTTAATGTGTTTCATGACGTGCCTGTTCGATAAGTAAATAAATGTAATGGTTTTATATCATGCTGTTTAAGCATTAACTTGAATTGTTTAAACCTTACAAACTTATTTTATCAGCGATTCTAGGTATTATCCAAGTTTTCCACAAAATGTTTTTCATCATTAGGCGTGACCTTGTTGCGTAGGGTAAGTAGCACCCCCGGTAGTGTTCCCTCCCTCTCTTTCTATACATATATACAATTATTAGTATGCAAGTTAAGGAAGCCTGTTTGTTGAAAATGGTGCAACTGTAGTTTTATGCAATTCGTGAGACCTCTATCGGCAAAGTTTTACATAAATCTGTTAACATCTGTTATATTGCTGTACGTGTGCAATTGGAGAGAGCTTTTTTTTAGAGTAAAAACCACATTTGGCGATCTGTCCACTGTAAGGAATCAAACCCCGAATTTTAGCGTTGTAAGTCCATACCTCGAAAATGGATATGAATGGGGAGATGGAAGTTTAAATGTAGGCAGAATACACAAATATCCTCGTTATTGTCCATTGTAACTGTAAACATGAATATATTTATCTGGGTCAAAACAATACAATTAATACGTACATTATAAACTTCCACCGATGATGTTGAACTGGGGGGGGGGATAAACGATGTACGACTGATCTATTGTCATTGTTTATAATAGTTTTTTCTTTAATAGACTCACGAATATATAACGTTTCTTTTACATTATTTATTGGCTATTACTCGATACTTTGGATGTTAACAAAACAGAAACATGTTACCTCTACATTACGTTTGGCCTAAAAGGAAGTAACAGTGCTAACCCTAGATTTACAGGAACTAGCAAGAGATCGGAATTCCTAGAGTTTATTTATACTTTTTCTAGGGTATTTCCCAGATAATTCGAATGGTTTCAAAATAAATGTCATCTCGATATTATAAGTTATCATTATTTATTATCAACTTACAGTGACATTGTAACAAATCAGTAAAACAACGGTGAAGGAATTATAGTATTTTGGTACTTGTGTATAAAGTTAAAATCATAAATAATATTCAACTTTAAACTGGTACACAATTAAAAACATTTTATTCAGGCCTATCTATGGCCTTCAAAAAGTTGACTCCTGAGGATGACGTTGTAACGTCGAAACATGTAGAGTCGACAACTTTTTGAAGGCCATAGATAGGCCTAAATAAAATAGTTTTAATTGTGTACCAGTTTAACGTTTAATATTATTTATGATTTTAACGGTGAAGGAAGTTAAAGATAAGATGATTGATGTAACAGAAAATTAAAAGTTACACAATGATTTTCATATTCCTTTTAGAAACTACAAATGGATAATGATAACCGGATTTGGATCCATTTTTAAATTATTCAGGTGGTTTATCAATTGTTTCAATGAGTCATCTAAGTCAATCGAATCTTTCTAAAGTCTCTCGAAAACCGAGTGATTCTACCATTATTAATTCTCAGCATTAAGTATCAAATAGAATAGTAATATTATCACCATGATAATCACGTACACAGGGATAAACAATACAGATTTATATATGTGGGTTTTTGTATACAGGGACACTTATATTTCATTATATTATCAACAAGCGAAAGAGAAACCTTGGGTGTCGCTTTACATGATTCTAATTCAAGAACTTGGGGATCACTTTACATGATTATAGTTCAAGAACTTGGGGATCACTTTACATGATTATAATTCAAAAACTTGGGGATCACTTTACATGATTATAATTCAAGAACTTGGGGATCATTTTACATGATTATAGTTCAAGAACCTGGGGATCACTTTACATGATTATAATTCAAAAACTTGGGGATCACTTTATATGATTATAGTTCAAGAACTTGGGGATCACTTTACATGATTATAATTCAAGAACTTGGGGATCACTTTACATGATTATAATTCAAGAACTTGGGGATCGCTTTACATGATTATAATTCAAGAACTTGGGGATTGCTTTACATGATTATAATTCAAGAACTTGGGGATCACTTTACATGATTATAATTCAAGACAAGCGGTTAATTGTGATGAATATAAAATTACTGTGAATCCAACATTTTATGACTAGAAGTAGAAAAATTTCATTTACAGGTGGAACGCTTTTTAATAAATGCAAGATGTCGACGTGCTTTTGGAAGCGCTGTGAACAGTTAAAGGTTTCTTTCTTTTTTAATTTAACAGTTATTTTTACAATATTAAAATGAACTATAATTACTATTAATTAAACTTGATTAATAAAGACTAGTACATTTAACATGTGTTTTTGGTTTTATGTCTGAATTTCATCCTCACAGAACAACCAACATAACACTGGTCTATTTTTTAATTACGTAATGCATACACATTATTTCCAGAAAATGTAACACGTATCTTACTATAATTTTACTGTATCTAAGTAGTTCATATGGATATTGTATCATTTTACTGAATCGAAGTAGTTCATATGGATATTTCTATAATTTTACTGTATCTAAGAAGTAATTCATATGGATATTTCTATAATTTTACTGTATCTAAGAAGTAATTCGTATGGATATTTCTATAATTTTACTGTATGTGAGTAGTAGTTCATGTGGATATTTGTATCATTTTACTGTTAGGTGTAAATATTTTGTATAAAAGTAAACATTATTATAATAATATTTTATTGATTGGTTTTGAATATCTCGCAAAGTTACTCGAGAGCTATCTACACTAGCAGTTCCCAATTTAACAGTTATAAACTACAGCTAATCAACATCACCAACCTGCAACTCTTGGGTTACTCTTTTATCAACGAATAATGAGATTGACTGTACATAACAACGCCCCCACACGTTGGAAGAGCGGTTTCTCATCATACACAAGTATCACATTAGTATAAGTATTAAAACATCATCTATTTCTCAAGCTGAAATTTTCAATCACCCACAAATTGTTCCAAAATTTAGTGGCTTATGGTGTTAAAATTATTAATATTAAATAATTCAACAAGGTTTACATACCTGTCACATTTATAGAAAAGAGAGCCATAGCCAGTGCGAAAAAAGTCCATAGAGTGGTTTTCATGGTATAACCTCCACTACTATGTCAGTTCCCTGGCGAGTTCCTCTTCTTGGAACAGTCTAGGTTTGTTTTAACTCAGTTCTGTATTTTCATTTATTGTATCATAGGACGAGTCTGTTTGATAATTAAATAACGATATTCATTTCATATTTTGTTATAAGTTTTATCCTGCAGAGATCTGAGATATTACAAAACGTTGCGAAATATCCTAGGAAGCGTTGTTACTCACCAGAAAGCATGACCTTATTGAAAAAGTTAGGGTACGCTAAACACACTCACACTCAGCTAAGCACACACACCTCTCGTACGATCGTTGGCACGATAACGTGAATTGTTTGTGTACTAGACATTGGTGCAATCTTACTTTTGAACGATTCTCGAGACCTCTGTCGACATAAATCCGAGGTAAGAGGTTTTACTAGATTTGTTTACCTAGCAACGGACATACTAATTTAAATATTGAAAGTGTGAACGATTCTAAACAACTGAAACGAGGATAACTTTAATGTATTTATAAAAACATAATTTATAATCATAAAATAAGTGGCAATTTCTTTAAGTACAAGTTAATTTAGAAGATTTTTAGTAAAGATGATATAAAAACGAAAATTGGAATGTTCCTTACTCAATATATCAAAATATTTCAAAAACAGTTTAAATTAAATAAATGATTATAAATTATAAAGTGAAACTTTCATATGTGCCAATAACAATTACTCTTGTGCTAACAAAATAAATAAAATTATTAAATACTAATAGTGAGTTAAAGAAAAATCAAAAATATTATAAACCAATCGCTTTACATGTACATAATACAGGGGTATTTACTTGGGATGAATATAAAAATATTGTGAATCCAACATTTTACAAACAACGTAACATTCGTGATTTTATTGACATTAGAAAATAAGTTTGAATAGTATTATAAACAACGACAATGACGTGTTTCATGTTTAAATCTTTATTTTCCTCACCCGGTAATTTATGTATTTAGTTCTGTGGAAGTTTATGACTAGTGGTAAATCACGCCTAGTGGTAAATCAGTAAATACACCTACCGTCCAAGTCTTATAAAAATTAGTTTCATTGGTTTGATGTATGTAAATATTATACGTACTTATAAATAAATGAATACGCCTAATGGTAAATCAGTAAATACACCTACCGTCCAAGTCTTATAAAATTGTGGTCGTTTATGTTTTTTACTGTATCTAAGTAGTTCATATGGATATTTTGATACAATATCCATATGAACTACTTCGATTCAGGAAAATGATACAATATCCATATGAACTACTTGGATTCAATAAAATGTTGCAACTATCCATATGAACTACTTAGATACAGTAAAATGATACAATATCCATATGAACTACTACTTAGATTGTGTGATATTGTTGATAACGTTAGCCTTATATTTACAAGTAGAAAACCATTGACTCTTCTTGATTTAAAATATCGTACATTTAAAAATTGTGTTTGACATGAGCCTATCTAGTAAACCAATTGTATACATTTTAATTACTATACATATTTGTTTTAGTCATGGCAATATACTTGTACTATACATATTTGTTTTAGTCATGGCAATATACTTGTACTATACATATTTGTTTTAGTCATGGCAATATACTTGTACTGTACATACTTGTTTCTAGTCATGGCAATAGACTTGTACTGTACATATTTGTTTCTAGTCATGGCAATAGACTTGTACTGTAAATATTTGTTTCTAGTC